CCGAGGCCGGGGGGAAAAGGGGGGGGGGGGGGGGGTTTGGCGAGTATTTCGGGTCCAGATCAGCATCGCCCTGGAAACGCCGCTTACACACTGATCACACAATCACAACACCTGTGCGTGATGAGTGGCGCACCTGGAGTGGCGCACATTCCCGCCGGCCATAAAAGCCAGGAGAAGAGGCACACCGGGAGAGTTGAAACGGGGCTCCAGCCGAAATTAATGCTGGTTTTCTCCCTGTTCACAGAATCAGATGGCACCCCAGGAGAGGGATCTTCATCACGACACTTCACCCCACGAGCACCGAGTGGAGACTTTCACCGTGCACCATTCACCTGAGCACGTGTGGGTCAATAAATCACCCTCCGGGGCACTTTCTAGCAGTACCGAGTCTGTGTTCTCATTCACCCTGAGACTGTATGGGGGGGGGGGGGGAAATATTCAATGACAGCAAAATCCTAACAAAAGTGGAATCAAGTCTAAGTTTTAAGTCTAAATCCTTTGGCTATTTTTAGTACTTTCAAATTAAAAGTGACAGTGGAAATACAACCTATATCCTCTTTTAAGGTTATATATATTATATCTCTGAGATAAACCATGGACCACACATAATGCATGCAAAAGATAACAGTGTGTGAACTTGTGTGAAATCTTTTTTTTTTTTTTTTTTTTGTGCTGCGTGAAAGCAGTTTGTGGTTTTCTTGTTTTTCTAAAGATGGCCATCAGAAACGACCACCGACCACATCAGCACCATATATAGTAATCGTAGATAAACGGGTCACAGCGGGACGGACATACATCCTGTGTGCATGTGAGTGACCGGTGCCATTTTTAAGTCATTGGTGTAACACTGCCTCTGAAATGCTTCATGACCACAGTGTTAATGCATCGGAAAAGTGAGAATGCAGAAGACCATTGCATACGGAGACCTCTTCTGCACTGTAAGTGTGAGTAGGCGTTTGTGGCAACCACATATTAAACACGTGACTATGTGGAACAAAACTACAACCTGTTTAAAAATAGATGACTATATGTAACTTTAATGTAAGGTTAAATCTGCACCTATGCTTTTTTTAATAATAAACAAGAGCATACCTACAGACACAAAGTTTTTATTTAGGTAATTTATTGAGGAAATCAAACCCACTTGTGTTGATGGAGCCTAATTATGTAATTAAACATCTGCTGCTATAGCACTATAGCAGAATTGTTTATATATATAAGTGTTAACATAATACTATAAATATTAACTAATATAATTAAACATCATTTGTGTATGTGTATTAAATTATTTGTTAAATTATTTGATTAAATATCTATAAAAAAAATTTTAATAAAAACATGCTTCACATATATTTGTTAATTGTTACAATAATATTTATCTACTATAAAACAATGGTTTTAATTTTTTACGCTTTAGCTCCCTCTTGAGGATTGATACAGTTAGTGATTAAAAATTAACCAACAATACAGATCACTTAACTGAGAAAGATTAACTAAAATTAATCTTATTTCCACACAGTCCTGAAAACCTATACAAGCTCATCTGTTATTTGCCTTCTCTTTACTAAAAATAAATCAGGATACGATTAAGACGTCTGGTACAGTTTGGTTTTACTGTATCAGTTTATTAGTAGTTATCACAATCCTTCCATCACAAAATGATCACATGATCGTTTTAATATACTGTAAATACATTTATTTAATCCAGATTATTTCATATGAGAGTTTATTGACAACGAAGGCAAAAACACCTTTAGAGGGACAAACAAAAAGAACAAGGCTTTGGGCTTTCCTTTCTGTCCCCTCACAATGTGTACCAGAGAGATTGACGGAAGGACCGTGTTCACACAGACACACAGGGCCGATGCACAGCTCTGAAACTCTGTATTACCTGTTTTCATGCATTCTGGCATCTTGTTGTCATGCATGTTATTTACAGGTTCTGTCCTCTGACTTTCCTCAGTAGCTGTTCTCGTGACCCGTTAAAATGTATAAATTGCTAGTGGCTGAAGGGATTTCAGTTGGGGTGCTTTGCAAAACAATGTCTCTGTAAACCAAGATTTGAGAAAAAAAAAAGACATTACGAAGAATGAAATGAAATTTTTATTCAAGTTAAAAAGAAAACAATGAGTTAAGGTGGAAGAGAGTCAATACCTGTGCGTGCCTAAAACTTTGAACACTCGGCTTTCGTCTGTGATTTCCTGTGTTACCTACAAGGACACATGAGGATGACTATTTTTAAAATGAACATTTAAAATCTATAAACGATGACAATATGTACTGATACAGATTTAGACAGGTATGTCAGGTTAGGTGCTATATTTAATTTTTGACAGGAATGAAAACGAGGCTGTGAGGGAAAGTCTTGCCATTTTTACAACGACACACACTTTATAAAGCTTCTACATTATGTAATTTTCACAACTCACAACTTTCAAAACTGTTTTATGAAATATATGTCTTTCGAAAGTTGTTTTTTTTTCAGACAGACATTAATTTAATCTGTACTTTTTCATTCCTGTCAAAAACTAAATACAGCTCTACCCTGACTACGGTCTATTAAAATGCACAAAGCATCATAACTCTTTACCTCACAGTTGTGCAGACTAAGTCCTTTAAGCCCATGTTTCCAGAAAGCTAAAACACTTTCTTCTAAACAAACTGTTGAAAAACAGCACATGAAAACTTATGCCACTTGTATCATTTCATTGTGAACAGATACTATGTTTTCCTATCATGTCAGGCTTAAAAGTACCTAAAGTCTCAATAGGGAAGTCAAACTCCAGTTTGGATGCTAACTCCTTGCTGGGGACACCCTGCATATTGACAATCTTCACCGTTTCTAGAAGATGACAGTGAGAATTCATTTACAATACAAGTGCCAGTGCGTGCTTTAGAAGTTGATTCATGTATTACTCATACATATAAATCATACATACTTTCCAGTGCAATTAAAACCGTGTCTCTGTCCAGCTGTGTCACTTGTACAGCTCTTATTGTCTCACTGTCTAAGGAAAGGCACAAAGATCACACATTCACACACGTGTCAATGAATAAAACATTGTAAGCCCATACAAAATGTGTATGTTTTTCATATTTTCTTTACTTAGAGGGAAAAATCTGTTGAATTCATAGGAATGGGTTCAAATGCGATGTTTGCTGTGAAATGCTTCAGCCCTGAATTCATGCAAGTTTAGCAGCCAGTCAATCACTTACCTGGCTGAGGGTTTGGCGTGCCGTTCAGATGGATGATGTCAAACTTTAGCTGTCGTTCGTTTTGCTGTTGGAGGCTTTCCTGGACGCCCACACAGAGCTGAGGAAGCTCATCTGTCATTAACACCAGCAGCTCAAAGATGGGCAATGGGTCCGGCAGGGGCACAGCAATGTGCTTCAATGAGAAGACGATAAGAAAAGAGAAATGTGATGAGAGGACGACTACAAGTATTAGACTCTTATTAGTGAAAGCATAATAGAGTTTGTTTGGTAGCAATAAATCATTTACTTGTAAATAAAATTGCCAAATATTATTTATTGTAAATTCAACATCAACATAAAGTTATAAATGTTACATTATGCAAACAAGTCTATTAACCCTGTAAAGTTTGACATATGAAATAATAGTTAAAAAAACAATATTTGAAATGGCAGTCTGTTGAGCTTTTAGATAAAATCTTTAAAAATGCATATATGTTTTTTTGGTTTTTTTTAGTATCATATTTGATACAACAGACTTTTTTGGCTCATATAGTGTGTTCAAGGAAAATATGGTGCTCATAATAAAGGAGGGAAAAAACACCAAATAGAGCAAAAATATGCAATTTGGTGCAGCTGCTGATATTTTCATGGTCAGAAAGTAAGATGAAATTCGGATTGCTTTTAAAGTAAATCAATTAGATAATTTTAGCAGACTTCATATAAATATCAGTTGCCACTGTATCTCCCAATAATATGTCTTAAATGATATTTAAATCACTTTTATTGTGGAGGGCAAAACATATAATGCAATACAATGATGATCGAGAGATGGACAAGTACCTCAAAAGCCTACCGTATCATATTTGAATAATTTTTTATATATTCTTTAAAAAAATGGATTATCAGGTAAATCAAGGTTGCTTCAGTCCAGCAAGTGTTCATCTTGAAATACTATAACAAGTTTTTATAGCAAAAAGACATGTGAACCACAACCTGAAGGTGAAAAAGGCCTTTTACTTGCTAAAAAATATAAACCGTCAATCTGACGACAGAAGACATGCATTTAGAGATAATGTATCATATATGATACAGTAAGCTTTATAGGGTTACTGTTACCTTGAGGTGCATGAACTTCTGCAGTGGTTCATACCACAATAGTAGCACAAGGCCAGAGGGAACTGCAGCGCATAAGAACGTGCTGTCCGTGTATGGGTTACGAGCTGATGAAGAAGAATCAAGAAAACATGGCTTTTACTATTTCTCCATCTTAACCAATAACAGAAGGTCAGCAAAGACATTCATCAGGATAAAATGAATAAGCATTGATCTATTATGATGAAGGAATTGATCCTCACCCACGCTGCACTTCCGACATCCCTTGGTGTCTGCAATCTTCACTGACACAGCAAACTTCCTGTGAAAATATTATTTTGAGTTCCAAATGAACAACATATAAGCTGAATTATTAAACTTGTATGTGTTTATGTGACCTGTGGATCATCCGTTCTGTGAAGCGGTTGGTGCCGAGGGACAAGTGACCCTGTTTCCTCTGCAAGTGCCCTCGCTGCTCAAACAGAGCTGTCAGTCTATGAGAGTAGAGATGAGATGACTTACCTAAAAATAGAATAGGATAGAATTGATTTGAACAAAACAGAACAGCAGTTCACAGCCCACTGAGGTGTACATGTACAGTTTATTTATTTATTTAGTATATGATTTCTAAAAATTACTGGTTATCACAACATCTAATACTTCAACCATGTAACTATACAAATGTTACGTACCAGAGATGGACATTAAGACATTGTTCATGACGTAAAGCCAAGTGCATCTCTGTGGAAGCAACTGCAATGGAGATCAGGAGTGAAAAACATATTAGTCATTCAAAATAAATGTTTTCTCTCTCATGTTGTATGACAGAAACAGCTATTGGGTAAAAATACTAAATACCTTTTCTAAGGTGTCTTCATGCAGTTCATTTAAGTTAAGGATATAAACACCCTCCTCCGCACCCAGAATTAAATACTGATCTATGAGGAAATGATTGATAAATCAAACAGAGTTCAATAATACTCTGATTCTGTATTACGTTTTTCAATCTATATTTAAATTACATTTTATTTTAATCACAATTCTGGATCAGTAAGATGAATGGAAATCTGTACCTCTTGTTTTGGGCAAAACCCATATTTCTGCACAGTGAATTGTCAGTGGACATCCGTTAAATACTTTAGTAAAACAGGCTCCCATCTATGCAACATGAATTATACAATGTTTCACAAATATAGTACATCAGATGTAAGTTTTAAGATAAATTCTTAGGTTCATTCATAGATACTGGGCCCAAAGGTGCATTAATGATAAACTAGTCTTTAATTATATATTATTATGCATAATGTCACACTCAAATTTAGTAATAGTCAGGTTTAACACTTTTAAAGATGTTATTAGGTGGTTAAACTTACATAGACTTGGGGAGTGGGAGGAAGTCCATGAGAATCGGCTCTCTATGAATTAAAGGTTAAAAATACAAGGAACCAGTTTCTATATGATTTTTAGTCTGTCAGTAATACTTTTAGTTACTCAAAAAACATACAAAATGTGTATTAACATATATAATAGGTTTTTGAGATCTGTCCATGGTGCTGAAACATCTAATGATGTGATAGATGTAATGAAATAACACCAAAATATTTGATCTAATAATGTTTCAACCAAGTTAAATTAATTTAAAACTACTTAACCCCTTTGCTGTCACCCCCTATTTTCGGCATGGAGACACAAATGACATACCCAAAATAAAAAGGTTTCTATTCATCAGGCTTTCTGACTAGATACATAATCAACATATGTTCACAAAGCTTACACTTCAAAGTTTACTGTTCAAGAATCAGAATTACTCAGACTGTTATGATAATAGAGATATATAAGCTCAAACATAAAATCACAAATAAAAATATCAAAAAATATTTTTTTATATTTTATAATAGAATATTTTATTATATTTTATAATAAGTCTACTAATGCTTCATTTCAAATTTCAGGACATAATCTCTAAAACTGTGAATTTTATGAAACATTTTTTAAGATCATGTCATGTGTGTTTTTAGAGAAGGCTAATAAAATAGATTTATGGCCCTCTAAGCTCTCCTGCATGCTGCTTCCTCATGTCTGGCTTGGCAAACTGCCCCATTCATGATTCTATTGTTGTCACGCAACGAGCCTTTCACACCTCTGCCAGGTATGAAACAACAATAATCTGGGGCCGTTGCCAATCTTTGACAGCTAAGGGGTTAATAGTGGTTGACTAATGTAGGTTTTTCAATGACCAATTTAATGTTGATATATTGAGATATCTACCGATACATAAAAGACACAAAATCTGTACAAGGAATGCATGTGAATCAGTTCTTTGTATCTGACACTGTGATTGATAAAAGGACATTAATGTAGCTGAGATGTATTAAAGTGTGGGATACAAACACACATAAGTGTAAGTCTGTTATTTGTAACATCCAAAATTGTGTAACTCACGGAGTCCTCTGTTTTCTTCCTCATGGTGCTCCACTCTGGAGAGAGAGCCGTGTCTCTGCTGAGAGTCCTTGTAAGAGTCCTCTGTTTGTCCTGTGTGTCATTATGATCAGGAACACAAGGGTCGCTGCACCAGTGCCGCACATCCTGACTGCCTGAACACCTCAACAACACTGACGAAATGTTTTTTTGTCAGTGAAGAGAGAAATGTTTTAAAACCTTGTGTGGTGAATTTCCCGTTGTCTTTTACTTTATGTTCAGATAGCAATACCTGATTTTGGACTTAATACAGTTTCAGGGCAAAGAGTAGCACTAGGTCGAAGCGTAAGGTTCTTGTCCTCCAGATCAGAGTCTAAAGAGCTCATGGGAGGAAGTGATGTCGTAGCAGAGATGGGTGGTGGGCTGAACAGTCCACTTTTCCTCTTACTCCACTATGAAACATCAGAAACTGTTTACAGCCTTACATTTTTTTCTATAATCATAAATTGATCATTAGGAAAGGTTCACAAATACCTCAAAATGTGAGAGTCTTTTTACTGTCAAACTCCTAAAAAAGAAAGAAAGTTCAATGACAGAATATTTGTCACACACATGTGCAAATTATATTTCTGCAGTTGAGTTTTAAATTGTGCATAAAACAGGTACCAACAAATTGTGATTGAAATAATTATAAAAAATAAAAAAGGAAAGTAGAAAACCAATTTAGAGAGAGGCTATGACTAGAAATACACACACACACACACACACGATATCTACTGACAAAAAAATAATAATCAAGGCATCATTTCACTTTTTAGCTGACTCTTTTTTTTTGGGCAACAGATGTCACTCCACAAGATGGCGATAGAATATAAGTGTGTCCCACCTCTGCTGTAACTCCTCCTCCACACTTTCCAAAAGACCCCTGCAGCAATTAATACATTTCAGATGAAAGGTTATAATAACCGTTTAGTCCGTAGTGCAATTATAAGTCCACTTAAATCAATCAGCAGTTCAGCACTCACAGTGACTCTGGTTCATCTCCAGATAGGCTCCAATCATCACACGATCCCTGAGAACATAAACATTCTTGATTCTTTCTTTTTTTTCAAGTGATAACCATGCATTATGACACAATATTTTATGAAGTGTAAAAACACGATATCTACTGACAAAAAAATAATAATCAAGGCATCATTTCACTTTTTAGCTGACTCTTTTTTTTTTGGGCAACAGATGTCACTCCACAAGATGGCGATAGAATATAAGTGTGTCCCACCTCTGCTGTAACTCCTCCTCCACACTTTCCAAAAGACCCCTGCAGCAATTAATACATTTCAGATGAAAGGTTATAATAACCGTTTAGTCCGTAGTGCAATTATAAGTCCACTTAAATCAATCAGCAGTTCAGCACTCACAGTGACTCTGGTTCATCTCCAGATAGGCTCCAATCATCACACGATCCCTGAGAACATAAACATTCTTGATTCTTTCTTTTTTTTCAAGTGATAACCATGCATTATGACACAATATTTTATGAAGTGTAAAAGAATGTGGATTGTGTTTTGTTTGTCTCATTGGCTTATAGAGAACATCACAAAGAGAGAGCAATAAAACTGACCAGGTCAGGATAGGGTTCAGTCTCTTTCCTCCTGGGAGGGGTAAACTTGACCTGGTCAACTGAAACAAACAACAAACACATTTTACATATTACTACACTTACAGTCTTCATTTATCCATTTTTACCATTCAAAAGTTTGGGATTTGGTATTGTTTTTGAAAGAAGTCACTTATGCTCACCAAGGCTGCATTTATTTGATCAAAAATACAGTAAAAACTGTATTATTGTAAAATGTAAAAATGTTTCCTGTTTTAGTATATTTTATAATGTCATTTATTTCTGTGAGTCTGTCATTTTTCAGCATCATTACTCCAGCCTTTAGAGTCACATGACCCTTCAGAAATCCTTCTAATACTGTATGATGTGGTGCTTGTGAACCATTTCTTGTTATCAATGTTGAAAACAGATCTGCTGCTTAATATTTTTGTGGAAACTGTGATACATTATCTTGCAGAATTCATTGACGAATAGAAAGTTCAGGAGAACAACATTTATTTGTACTAATTAAAAGAATTGTTTGCAGAATAAAAGTATTAATTTCTTAAATAACTAAAAAATCTTACTGACCCCTTTTGAATAGTAGTGTAAATATCCATAAATCTGGACAATATTAATCCATATTCAGTAATCATGTTGTTCAGATTTTTTAACATGTTAGAATGTGATTTCTATGGTGTTCTTGTTGGTTGCATATATGTTAGACCTCCAAGAACTTCATATACGTACATAGTACATACAGTAGTTTGAACATCACTTCCTCGTCTGCCCTAAAGAAGCTTCATTGTCTGTCTGCCTGTGAATGCTGTAATCTTACAGTCAAGACGTGTGACAATGGATTCTCTGTAAAAGTGGCCTCAACTTGCCACACGATAACACACACACATGCATCGCACTCTCCGATTTGGCCTCGAATGTGAGCACTGGATCCAGTTCACGCAAGTGAGTGTGTGAGGGGGATGGATAAGCACATGTCATTAGACGTGTGCTAAACAGTACCAGCTCTATGAGTTGTGTGTCTATTGACATCACTGAAGTTACGCTCAATAGCAGCCTTGTTAAAGCAGCACCTCCTCTGCTACACTTCCATACATTCAACTTTCTAATCATGCACACGCTGCAATGAAAATAGACACTGGAGTGACAGTGAACTGTCAGAAAACGGATGAAAGTCTGTCAGAAAACGGATGAAAACATAATATAATCAAGAAACATTTGAAAAGATATGGCCAAAAAATGTGTTTGCTACTCATTTTTACAGATAATACATGATTGTGTATCAGAGGTTTTTAATTACTTATTCTGGTATAATGTAAAATATAACAAATTATAATGTATAATTCTGGTATAAAGTAAAGTATACAATTTAATGATAGCAAATAGGATGCATATAGTATTCCTGAATACAAAGACTTGTTTAATCAACTAATTACTCAAAATGTCTTTCCAAGAAAAGAAAAATAGAATTTAGGCACACTTATCGGCTGATACAGACAATATAAAAATATCGAGGGGTGAGAACCAGACCGGCGTAAGTGACATTTCACCAACTTTACAGGAGGGCCAAAACAAAAATTTACTATAGTTTGATCTGACTTTGTGTATTGATTTCAATCGTTTATAATAAAAATTCATACACGCATAGATATACACATTTAACGATATACAAAAAATCACATGCGCCTTTTTGGCACCAATGTTTTATTCCATGCATTACATTAATGAGTTTAAAAGAAATAACTATCTATTGTGATAAAATAAAATATGTCTTTCCAAGAAAAGAAAAATAGAATATAGGATACAAAAATAGAATTTAGGCACACTTATCGGCTGATACAGACAATATAAAAATATCGAGGGGTGAGAACCAGACCGGCGTAAGTGACATTTCACCAACTTTACAGGAGGGCCAAAACAAAAATTTACTATAGTTTGATCTGACTTTGTGTATTGATTTCAATCGTTTATAATAAAAATTCATACACGCATAGATATACACATTTAACGATATACAAAAAATCACATGCGCCTTTTTGGCACCAATGTTTTATTCCATGCATTACATTAATGAGTTTAAAAGAAATAACTATCTATTGTGATAAAATAAAATATCACATAAAAAGTCCTTATGTCAAATTAGTTAATTGAATGTGATTAATTTGACTAAAATATTAATCCCAGTCACTTAACAAAATGGATGATTGAAAAGCCTTTACAGATGCCTTCCCTATGAAAAATAAAAATACAGAAATGTATTTGAAATACATTTATTTAATTCTAAGTGTACTACATACATTTACATATTATTTACATATTACTAAACTGGTATACTTAGAGTCTGCTAAATTAGAACAACAAATTTTGTGCTTAATGCACTGTAATTGTAAGAAAGTAGTGCTGAAGTCCAACAAAAGATACACTGAAGTATATTTGATTGTGCTAAAAGTTAGGTACACTTTAATGGGGTCATATGATGCTATTTTAAAGATCATTATTTTGTGTATTTGGTGTAACAGAATATGTTGACATGCTTTAATGTTCAAAAAACACATTATATTTCAAATACTGTACATTATTGTAGGTCCTCTATGCCCCGCCTCTCTCAAACACGTCGTTTTCAACAAAGCCCCTCCTTTGACAAGCGCAGTCTGCTCTGATTGGCCAGCTGACCCAGTGCATTGTGATTGGCCGAACACCACAAGCACGCGTCATAAATGTAACGCCCCTTACCATAATCGCGAGCTTCAGCTTTCAAAATAAATATCAAGACAGTTAATAATGTCGTTAGTTTTACCATCAGTTCAAGCCCGAAAGGGCAACAGAGTCACGTGACAGACACAGTGATGATGCAGTACACAAGCCGCGAGACAGCTGACGTGCTATGATTTCTGATAGACAGTTCACTCTCCTGTGATCTGACCCTGTTCCCCTCTCACTCACACACACACACACACACACTGCGCTTACTCTGCGCTGCGCAAAACTCCGCATTTGAACAGTCAATAGCAAATACTTAAACTAATAACAAAACATACTTACAGTCGCTGATTCAGAAGGGCCAGATTGTCATAGCAAAGTCTGAATTTACCCTTTTTTTTTTTAGAAATAGCCTTTGTGCACAGCCAGCCTTGTACTCTTCTAGGTTCAAAAAACTGTCGTCCATAAAATGCGTTGCACAAATTCGAACATCTGGGTTGTGCTGTTCTGTTGTAAATAAATCTTAACCAATGATTCCTAACTGCATCTACTTCCGGAAGGCCAAATAAAGTGCTTTTGCTTTCGCACTGAAACACAGTGTCTCCCTGACATGCTGCTTCAACACTAACTGCGGTTCCTGAAACCACGCCTTCTTTCTTTGCGTGCACATTTGGGCGGCATTATGCTAATATTTCCACAGTGACGTAGATATGTGGGGGCGTGTTAGTACGAGCCGTTTTAGGAGGGCGTGGTTGACTTAACTTTTATAAAGAATATCTCTTTGGATTTGAGACTTAATATCTTACATTTAAAGACCAATATTATTCAAAGATCCAATATTATTCAAAGATCATACAATCCTCACTAATAGTAACATTAAAATACATTTTTATGTATATTGATAAGTTTTGTGACATATGAATATACAATAAATAAAGCATATAAAACGTTAATAGATTTGAACTAGTATGAAATAAATGTATTTTAAATACAGTATATTACGGTTTCACTAGGGTTTGTAATAAAAATTATGATAGCGAATGATACTGAAGTAATGAACTGCATAACTAATTATTATCTACAATAATAATAATCCCTTCTCTGCATTCTCTCTCTTGTGGCTAAGCAGTAACTGAGTGCCTATATGATGAAATATACCATTAGAATGTAAGTTATTGGTTACTACCCTGCTAGCAAGCTACACCTCACTGACATTGAATTGCACGTGGTATCAGCCATTTTGACTCATGTGCTATCCACAGGCTTTACCCACAATACATTTCTCAATGTATCTCAGTGGCGTACGTGCAGTTACGCCCTTTTGGCACCAACTGGATTAGTAATTTCAGAGTTAAGTCTTTTGGTTTCTAATGAATAACTCCAAAATTATTAAGAATTCACTTATGTCCTTTCAGCAGTAGAAAGAGCTCATCAAGAGCTTTCATTTGATACAGTATATATATATATATATAATCTCTCAATTTCACCCAAAATGTCACTTACGCCCTTCTGGTTCTCACCCCTCGATATATAAAGAATTAGGACTGAATAGTGTATATTGTAGTATGTTAATAGTATGTTAAATATAAATGGTAATGTACAATTTCTATTGGAAATAAGGACAATGTTAACCAGAACTTACATTGTTCTTCTGATAAACTTCTCTCCACTGGCATATGTTTCCCTTTAGACTGGATTGTATCTGGGGCTGTATCGTTTGCCTTTTACACACACACAAAAATATCGCCACAAAAACTGACATGAATATTTGGAAAAAACATTAAATGACTTTATAAATTAGGGAAAGGTTTCCCAATAATCCTGAATCATGTGCCTCTCCTTAAAATGTTCTTTATTTATCCTTGTTTGGACAAATATGTTTTTGATGACATGCAGATATGAAAGTAAGTTGAAATAATTTAAGTAATTTTAAGTAAGTCATTTGAAAGCTTGCACATGCTTTTAAGAAATTCTGTCTTGCTTAATAATTTATGATGCAATTAAATTAACTTCCTAAACAAAAAAACTTTTAGAAGACCTTAGATCAGCTCGGATTAGACGGCATACTGAATTTAACACAGATGAAAACGAGGCTGTGAGGAATAGACTTACAGTCTTTACAAAGGCACACACTGTATAAAGGTCCTAGAGCATGTCATTTTCACAACTTGACTTTCAAAACTGTTTTATGCAGTTTTCATCTACTAAATGTTTCTGCAGGAAAAATGCTTTGTCAGCTAAACAATATATTGTTAAACAACCGTACAATACATTAAAAAAACTATACTTTTGTCCCTCACAGCCTCATTTTCATTCCTGTCAGAAATTAAATATGGCACTATCCTGTATTCCTGTGTTCATGCCATGTCAAAATTACCATAATTATATAAAAGTTGCAAAAGAAGTTTTGCATAAAAACAAGTAATTTCTTAGCCTGAGTACATGAATAGCTCAGAGTAGAGTTGATATCTCATAATTACAGTAATTGCAATATAATGTGAGTGTGTCTTATTCTCACTTCTTCATTCTCTTCAAGACTGGGTGGATGATGGAGGTCTGGATTACTTGCCATGTCCAGTAGCTCAATCATCAATTTTCTGGTGAGTAACTGTGTTACGAAAGGGTGCTGGGGAGAGAGACAATGGCAAAAATGATCAACTTTTCGAGAAATACAAAATGTATTCAAATGCAGTATTGTACATTTAATGTTCTCTTGTAGGGATGCTCCACTCAGGATTTTTTCCGCAAAACCAGAAAACCGCAAAAATCCAGATTTTATAATAGCTTTTACTTAGATCTGTTATATACATGAAATGCATCCTATCAAACCATTATTTAAAAATAAATAAATACATAAAAACATGTTTCCTTGTGCCTTAAAGCTTTAACATGTTTTATGACCGCACAAGGAAAGTTATTATAGGGGTATGTGATATTCAGTGGCAATGCTAATATTAACTTTGATTTTTGAGTTTGATTCATCTGTCACCTGGAGAAGAGTTTCTGCTGTCGGCCTCTTGCGAGGACTTTTGATCAAACACATTTTCACAAAGCTATGAAACCCTGCAGACCTGCAAAGACAAGGACACAAACCTTTCTCCAATCATGTCAGGTACTCACGGGAAAGCTTGCACTTTTCTTTACTTTTTCCATTTCTAAGAGAAATCTCCTTTCTTTCTGTGGGGTTTTGAATCTTACCATTTGCTCTTGTCTTTTAGTTTGGGAGGCTGGAAGCTGCTCTTAGACATCAACATCAGAGCTCTACAACAGAAAATAAAACCTCACTTCAAAAATGCTTTGTTACAGGGTATTTTCTGTGAAATGAGTCATTCTGACCGCATGGGATGAAGGTCAAACATAGGTGGCTGTAGCTCTGCCAATTCAATGGCGGTGATGCCCACTACCCAGATATCACACAGATGGTCATATCCACCCTTCTTTTCCACTGCAGCCACCTCAGGGGCCATCCTAACAAAACAAAGACACATTTCCTTTAGACACCACAGCCTGCTGTCAGTCTGATTGTCTTTCAGAATGATGCAAAGAGTAAAGGAGTGAATGGAAAAGGGGCATATGGAAATGTTTGGATCATGCATTCTTTTTATGTTGTTGTGCATTGTTTAAAACCTGTAAATATAATAAAATCACAGACACACACACACACTACCATTCAAAGGTTTGGGGTCTTATGCTCACTAAGGCTGCATTTATTTGTATTTTGTAATTTAGTATTCAAAATACAGTAAAACAGTAATATTGTGAAATATTATTGCAATTTAAAATATATGTTTTCTATTTTATTATATTTTCAAATGTAATTTATTCCTGTGGTGGCAAAGCTGAATTTTCAGCATCATTACTCCAGTCTTCAGTCTTCAGTAATCATTCTAATATGCTGATTTGCTGCTTAAGAAACATTTCTTATTACTATCAATGTTAAATGCAAAGTTGGAATTGCCCCACTTTATAGAAACAGCCTTTGTGCACAGACACATTGTAGTCTACTCTACCAGGTTCAGGAAACAGTCCTCCATTAAATGCGTTGCACACATCTGAATATTGTGCTTTCATAACGAAACAAACAGCGTTTTCACGACATGGCGGCGGCGGCAACAACAATATTACAGCGAGAATAAAAGATACACCTTCTTTTTTTGCGTGAACATTTGGGCGGTGTTATGCAAATCTTCCCACACAGTGACGTAGACATGTGGGGACGAGTCTTAACTTTTATAAAGACTATCTCTTTGGGTTTGAGACTTTAGTCTTTGCAACTTTAGGGATCTTATCTTTTCACAAACAGCTTGTAACACTCCAAAGAGAAACGAAAACTTGAAATCGCATCATATGACCCCTTTAAGATGCGTCATAATAACTCTTCCCTGTGATTTTCAATAGTCTCAAATGCTTGCACAGAATTTGAATGTTATTTACTGTATACCTTGGTAGATATCCTGCAGTGATCCTCCCCCACAGTATTCCATGCAGATCCACAATTTAGTATTCCTGAAAAGTTGAACAGTTCAGTGCCTGGACTTTTGAGTCAATGCACACAAAAGATTTTCAAAAGATACATACGCACACACCCATAACTTACAAACATGACAAGAATCTCATAAACATTTTGAAAGCTTGTGAGTGGGAATGCATGCCTTTGAAATAATATTCGGGAATGCACAAGTCATCTAGAGCATGTGCTGGCACGTGTCGGCAGCTATTTACAAAACCTATTAAACATGTCTGTGTGATTTGTGCTCCATATCTGATTGTGTAACTCTGCTTGTATAAAACATGTTGTGGAATGCACCTTTCTATGCCCTGACAACTACTGGAGAAATACCAGGCAAGGCACAAACATTACCGTACCTGTGGTAAGTGCCATAATAGGCCACAATGTTCTTATGCTTACACTCCTTCATCATTGTTATCTCCTGCTGGATAGAGGTGATGTCATCACCTGAATAAAGAGTGAAAGAACAAGAAAAAGAGTATATACTGAAGACAAAATGGTCTATAATAACAAAATATTTAAAGTATTTGACTAACTATTCCAGAAAGCCATGTAAAAAAATAACTTAAATTCATGTGACACAATGCAGTCCAATCATTTTTAAAGTAGTAGTGCAGTGAGGCTTCTGAGAACTATAATTATGTGTAAATATAGAGCTCATTACAATATAAATCCTTCATACAAGGAATCGATCCAATAAAACCTCTATAATTTTGAGAGATTAGTTAGAAACAGCATTTGCCTCTAAATGTTTACTGTATGTTCTCTACAGCACTGAAGCATGAAAATCTCCCAATATGCAAATGTGTTCTGGTCAAAAACTTATAACATTAAAACTACTCACACACCTGGATCCAGTTTAACAATTTTGATAGCAGCCATTTCTGAGCTCCTAATGTTTCTAGCCTGAAAGAAAATAGATAACATTACACGATGAACTGGAAAATCTGATTTCTTTTACAACAATATTAATTATAAAATGGATAATTAGGTTTAGCTACATTTCAACAGCTGATATGCATTTGTGACTGTGCACAAATTTTATATTAATAAGTCTATACCATTCAAATGTTTGGAGTTGGTCAGATTTTTTGAAAGAAGTCTCTTATGCTCACTAAGGCTGTGATTATTTGATCAAAAATATAGTAAAAACTGTAATATTGTGAATTATCATTACAAATATATTAGTACTGTAATATAATTTAAAATTGAATTTTTTCATGTAATGGCAAAGCTGGATGTTCAGACAGTCTTCAGTGTCACAAATCATTTAGAAATCATTCTAATATACTGATTTGTTGTTCAGGAAACATTTCTTATTATTATCAATGTAATAAAACAATTGTTATGCTTAATGTTGTTGTAGAAACCATGATACATTTAATTTATTGCATCCTAAATAAAAGGCTGTAATTTCACTTACAGTTAAACTAACTAGCTATATTACCTGGAAAAACGAATTGTTTAATTGTGATTTATTATTATTATTAATAATACAAATACATGTCTTAATGGAATTAATAGAACATTGTCACTTATCATATGGCTATATATAGCGATGAGAGACAATGTACTACAGTGATTTTACTATGGTTTTTAGATGGTTTTAGGTTTAAAAACACATTTCATTTTCATTTGTTTTGGTTTTCAAATAAACATTTGACAGCATACGTAAATGAGCAAATGTAACATAGAGGTGGGTAAATGTGACTTTAAGGCCATGTTTACTTTGGTGAAATGCTCGGGATGCTGTAGAAAAGCCAGGAACAGATCCAGCTCTCCTGGCAGGCATCTTAATGACAAATATCCTAGTGTCAGTGGCAGCCTCACTGTAACCTTGTCCTGTAGCTGCTGCCAGGCCAGGAGACCGTATGATGCTGCACCATTAGTTAATCACTCATTCTATTTAGGAAGGATTCTATCAATTTACTATAAAACCACTAATACCTCTTGCCCAGCTGATATGCATCTGTGACTGTACACAAATCTTATATGAATAAGTCTATACCATTCACGTCCCTTATGCTCACTAAAGCTGCAATTACTTGAGCAAAATATAGTAAAAACGGTAATATTGTAAATTATTATTACAACTATATTAGTCCTGTAATATATTTTAAAATGTAATTTATTCATGTAATGGCAAAGCTGAATGTTCAGCCAGTCTTCAGTGTCACAAGATTCTTCAGAAATCATTCTAATATACTGATTCTATTAATTTCCTATAAAACCACTTATACCACATGCTGAGGATTCATCAAACTCATTTAACTGTGGAATTAAAGGAATAGTTTCTCCCCCCCCCCATTCCAGAAAGCCATGTAAAAAAATAACTTCAATTCATGTGACACAATGCAGTCCAATCATTTTTAAAGTAGTAGTGCAGTGAGGCTTCTGAGAACTATAATTATGTGTAAATATAGAGCTCATTACAATATAAATCCTTCATACAAGGAATCGATCCAATAAAACCTGGGAATGTACTTTAGTACATATATGTGGATACCAATATGTGGATGAGTCTGGGAACCTATTTGAAGAAATTTTGCATTATCACTTGCTCACCAGTGGATCCTCTGCAGTGAATGGGTGCCGTCAGAATGAGAGTCCTAAAAGCTGATAAAAACATCACAATAATCCACAAGCAATCCACATGACTCCAGTTCATCAATTACCATCTTGGTAAGCTAAAAGTTGCAGGTTTGTGATGAACAAATACATAATTAAGACCATGTTTAACTTTAAACTGTTGTTTTTGGCTAAAAAAATGAGTCCTCTTTCACTGGGGAAAGCAATATTATGACAAATATGTCAGCGGATTTTGATGAGAGGATAACAGGAGATGGACTTTTCCCACTTTTTACCAAGCATTATTAAGGACTAGAATTTTGATCAGAAACAATGGTTCAAGGTTAAAATGCTTTAATGGTGGATTTGTTTCTTACAAACATGCAGTCTTTCACTTCACAAGACATTCATTGATGGACTAGGCTAGTGTGGATTGCTCATTGATTATTGTGATGCTTTAATCAGCTGTTTGGACTCTCATTCTGATGTCCCCCATTCACTGCAGAGGATCCATTGTTGAGCAAGTGATGCAATCATACATTTCTCTAAATCTGCTCCAATGAAGAAACAAACTCATCTACATCTTGGATGGCCTGAGGGTGAGTAAATATATTCAGAACTTTTTTATTTTAAGGGTAAATTCTTCCTTTAAATAGCCAACTCATGCACATTAAAATATATTCTATGCATACAGAGTGGTTCATTTAATACTCATGATCAGGCCAAAAAGTTTTCAGGAAAGTGGACTTCCATTTTTGCTTTCAGCGAGTCATAAACATAACAAATTGAGCATTCTGGACAAAACCTGGAACTTCACTGAGCTACCTTCCTGTTGTTTATCCTGGCATGCCAGAGAGCTTCCCGTCATGACTAAAGCGACAGTGTAACGTTCTCGTAATGGTTTAACTGTGCAACCTGAAATAACGCAACCACAACCCAAGAACAATGGCTTGTGTTGGATATCTGTCCACACTTTGACCAGAAATCTCCAAAGCTTGTTATTCTTTATGTTGGCATAGTCAGACCTGACAAGTCTATCAAATGCAAAACAGACTGTTTTGTTCAAATGCAGCTGGGAATCCTCACCATGGAATATTTTTAGATCTCGAGAACTTTCTGAGTTCAAGATGAGAGAGCTAGAGGACACTAGAAAGGATTCTTTGTGCATTGTGAGATGGGTATTGTAAGACTCACCCACTGAATTATCATAAAGTGGACTGTGTTGGGGACTGCTACACAAGAGTGACATGATCTCCACATTAAACATATATAAAAGAGACCAAATACACATGAAAACCAACAACATATTAGCACCTTACAAACTTCTTGAAGAATAACACTACCACACCTGCATGAGGGAGGCCTACATTTTAAAGTCCAGATTTGTAACATTCCACAAATGTTGCCGTTGTGCCAGCAGATTGCTCTTCAATCAAGTCAAATTTCTAAGCCAACCATATTAAGCTATTCCACATTAGAATCACAAACTACTTTATATCTGATACATTTTTAAACTATGCTTTTCTGTTTATGCAGGGTTTTGCACCTAAACTTTGAAGACAGACTGGCTGAAGTTACATGTTTTGTTGAGGAAATACCTAGATGGCCTAACAAAGACATTTCGACACAATAAAAATAAATAGTACGTGGATGTCAGTCTGAGTGCAGCATTTTGTGTTCACTGTGTTGGATGGAATTTGTGTCAATGCACACATGCTGTGAATTCTAGAAAACTAACCAATCCAGTCTGTCAGCTAACATCATGGATCTGGTTTCTTGAAATATTCAGCTTAAACAAGGAAATCAACAACAACAACGGAGTAAAAAAATCATGTCAAAGTTTAGCAAGTCTTCCCTTACAAGGTATCAGATGGTACTTTGACATTTAACATGGTGTTGAATGATAATCATATCATGGTACTCATATTCATGGTACTGGTACTCCAGATAATATAATTGCACTACGATGTCTAAATACTTACCAGGGTATCATACCCAAAGACAAAGTAATACAATCCTTGTACAGTAATACAATACAAACAAGTCATACAACCCCTTTTGGAAGATTTTTGTAAGTCTTCCAGAAGGAAAAGCGTTTTTCCCACGAAATCTTGACAACGCAACATGCATTAAATCAATCATTGCTTAAACACTCACCGTTGAGTAAAAAAATTAATAAATAAATAAAAATAAAAAAAACAGAAGTTCTTTCTCACCTTAAAGACATCTCCATAAGTGCCACTCCCGACCCTTTGAATAATCTCATAATCATCCAAGGGATCCAAAAATGAAACTCCTATAGTATTCATGCCTGCAGCTCTTTGTACATTTCACTTAGGCTATTCATGACAGCTGTCACACAGTTTGATGTGCAGCAACCTCATCTCATCCCTCTGCGCTGTTATCAAAAGTGGCGAAAAGAGATTTCATAATAAATCAAATGTATAGATTTATCTATAACGCAATGCAAAGCAAAAACAAATCTTCACATCCACTTTACCATGGAAATCACAGTCTTCGTCTTATCATCTCTCTGCTTGTCCCTTCTCACACTACCGCACCCGTAGACTCACAGCAGCAGTCCTTTGGATTCGGACCTTTTCAGTGAATCGGTTCGCAAAACTGGTTCGAACGATTCGTTAACGAATAGGGCTGAATAGTTCCGAGCGATTCTCGAGCAATTCGCTGACTGGTTGGAAACGAGAATGTCTCTTTTGAACACGTATGGAACCTCAGTGACGTAAAAGAATCGCCTGCTTTTCGAACGTGCTCTTTGAAATGAACCATTCTAAAGAACCGATTCGCAGACACGAGCGATCTTCACCATCACCAGACGCGATGCTCTTCGCTGCGTTTGCGCATGTGCACAGCATCAGTGGGCGACCACATTGCAACTATTTACAGACGACAATCCTTCAACATGGGTGACAGTAAATAAAGGGACGCACAAAAAACTCACTTGTTTTGTTCAAGTTGTTTATTTGGTGGAAAATACACTTTCACATCAAGAAAATAGCTTTTTAACTGAAGCACTGCACTTTGCATTTTTCAAAAGAATACTTTGCTATGACACTTGAGACCACATATGAAATCCAGCAGTTATGTGGACAATAACAAAACGAGTGCAAGACCTACATACATAGGCTGAAAATAAAAACGTTTTTTTCAACACATCATTGTATTGCAGACAAAATGTCTGAAGAATTGCATCTTTTCTAAAATCCTGTTAAAACAAATGATAATCACTTTGGCTTGTCGTAATTTGGATCTAATAGAACGTGTTGTAATAATACAAAATTAAGGCAAATCAATAGAATTACTTTATGCTATAAAATAATAAAGCAAATTTGCTGGTGTAAGAAAGTTTTCTTCAATGGGATATATTTAAATTCAACATTAGCTCAATTTGCAGGTAAAACGAATGAACTTCACTCCAGGTGAAAATATAAAAGTTTGAAAAAAATTATAAATGGGTCATTTTAAAGAGTTTTGCGCGGGCGTTTCATGAAGGACAAGGTGTAATCTCCAGAGGGTGTGGGTTTCTGTCTCTTCATCTGCACTTGGGACTGGGCTGTGAGCTGCAGTTTAATGGCACTAGAGTTGACCTTGGCCGCAGAGAGGAGCTCTTTCATACCCTTCATCTTCTCACTGTGGAAAACCACCACCGGCCCTCCCTGCACTACGGGTGGCTGGGTAGGAGAAGGTGTGGGACTTGGGGATGAGGGCTCATTTTTACCATCAGCCTCTTTACCTCGAGAGCTAGCAGAAGAACGTCTGCGTCCCACCTTTTTAGGCACTGGATTTTGAAGGGGCAACGGTGCACTTGGAGATGACGGTCCTGCTTGTTCATCTAACTTGGATTCTCGCCTCGTGCCCCGTCTACGCCCCTCACGCTGGTCTTCACTGGATTGGTCATCGTCATCCACTGGTTCTGCATCTTTGGTGTTGATTGACACTTTTTGTCTGATCTGAAAAAGAGCAAGTACATAAAGTGTGGTCATAAATGTCATTTTAATGAAACTTAAAATTAAGAAAACTGAGGGGTTTTACCTGTGCATCAAAGCGACTAAGGGACTGAACCAGGTAGGTGGCCCAGCCTACATGAAGCACTGGCGTTGGACTTCCTTCTTCCCATTTACAAATACCATCATAGAACCGAAGTAAGTGAGCAAAGCACTCTGGGTCCTGAAGGGCAGATAAAGCAGCTACCTGTCTGGGCTGGTCCTTTGAGGTAAAAGTATGAATAGAGGACAAGAGAAAGACTTGTTCACAACTTTGTTCTAAATAATAAAATACATATATTTGTAAATGTTTATTTTTATGTATAATTAAACAAGACCTCCTTTTCCGTTTCATCAGCCCCTTCGCCACCACTTTCAGCAGCAGCTGCTGTCTCTTTAAGGAGGGTGGGAATGACATCATTAGCGACGTCAAAAAACTCCTTATATATCTCCTCATCCTCCCTGTAGTAGTTGTAACTATAGACCAAGAAAAAGTTATGAAATTAAACATTACATTTTGTTTTCGACTTGACTAAAGCGATATTAAATTCCATAAAAAAATAACAATTTATATATATATATATATATACTATAAAATATTTAAAAATCGCTCTGGATAAAAGCGTCAGCTAAATGACTAAAATGTAAATACATATAAAGAATATATATATATATATATAGAGAGAGAGAGAGAGAGAGAGAGAGAGAGAGAGAATATTTTATTATATATCTACATAATAAAATAGAGAGAGAGGGAGTATATTTTATTATATAGATATACAGGTGCATCTCAATAAATTAGAATGTCGTGGAAAAGTTCATTTATTTCAGTAATTCAACTCAAATTGTGAAACTCGTGTATTAAATAAATTCAATGCACACAGACTGAAGTAGTTTAAGTCTTTGGTTCTTTTAATTGTCTCTCTCTCTCTCTATATATATATACACTTTATTTGTATTTATATTGTATATATAAATACATATAAAAGCACTTATACTGTATATAACAATGCTTACTGATGGTTACATTGTTTATAATACAGCAAGTCTGTCATAGCTCAAAGCAGCACAAACAAAATGAAAACACGTCAGAAGGACAGGGGGTAGGAGATAGCTAATGTTGTCATGAAGGAAGCGGAAACAGGAAGAGCAGGAAAAGGAAGTGGATGGGAGTGAGTGGGGGTTCTAGGCGTGCTTTGTGCAGACATCCTTCAGGATATTAGAATATAGTATTTTTAGCATTCTGTCCACTGCACTGTGTTTAGAGGGAGGAAAGTACCAGATTGTCTCTCCCGACAGGGACCAATGCCAAGGCTAAGACAGGAATGAGCTTTCTAAAGACAAACAGCGTGAGGCAAAACAGAAATGATCTTTAAAAAAGCATCATATGACCCCTTTAAGTCGCTGGGGTATATTTGTATCAATAGCCAACAATACATTGAATGTGTCAAAATGATCGATTTACTTTTATGCCAAAAATCATTAGGACATTAAGTAAAGATCATGTTCTATGAAGATATTTTGTAAATTTCCTACTGTAAATATATCAAAACTTAATTTTTGATTAGTAATATGCATTGCTAAGAACTTCATTTGGATAACTTTAAAGGTGATTTTCTCAATATTTTGATTGTTTTGCACCCTCGGATTCCAGATTTTCAAATAGTTGTATCTCGGCCAAATATTGTCCGATCCTAATAAAACATACATCAATGGAAAGCTTATTTATTCAGCTTTCAGATTTATACATCTCAATTTTAAAAAATTGACCCTTATGACTGGTTTTGAGATCCAAGGTCACATTTAGTTGTGTCCGATTATTATTTGATCAGAAACAACTACAAATTCTGTATCATTTAATGTTCAGATTTCTGTGGTGCTTGACTTACTCTTGCATTACTGAAGCAGCCTCTGCCCAGGCACCCAAAGCCTCTCGGACATTTCTGTGCCTATAATGATACCCTGCTAGATACATGAACGGGTATATGTGCTCGTTGTTGTAATAGTTTTTAGCCGAGTCAACAGCCTGGAATTTTAAAAAAAATACAGATTAGTGGTTTTTAATAATGATAACCTTGTAAATCTCTATCTTATAGCTAAAATCATATACCTTTAAGTGAATGGAGAGAGGGCTTTCCTTGCCTGTCACTGGTTCCTGATCTTCAAGGTCAGCCAAAGTGCCCATTGCCATAGGATACCTTCAACACACCCAATACAAGAGAACAAACATTCAGAAAGAGATAATTACAGTTAACAGTACATAACACAGAGAAGAAACAGTCAATGTAATGCAGGAAACAGAGGTTGATGTAGTGAAAGTTTAAAACAAATCAAATTTGAAGACATACTTGCTGGAGCTGGAGTAACTCTGTACTGTCTGTGTGCATATCTAGAGATGGATTGATGGCGCAAACCATGAATGCTACCTCCATATTCCTGTTGCACTTCATGTAGGAGCCTTTAAGATATAACCAGTTCTAAGAAAAATAAATGAGTAACAGATTTATAACATTTAAACTTTTTAACATTTACACTATTATTTAACAATTTGGTGTCAGTAAGATTGATTAATGTTTTTCTTATGCTCACCAAGGCTGCATTTATTTGAGAAAATAAATACAGTAAAACAGTAATGTGTGAAATATTATTTCAATTTAAAATAAATCTAAATACAAACATTTAAATAAAAGTCACTTTACTGTCACTTTTAAACAATTGAATGCATCCTTGCTGAAAAATAGTATTCATTTTATTTTTTTTAAATCATTCTCGCCCCAAACTATTGTATGGTAGTGTATGCATGGTGTTTATGAATATACAGTAGTTTATATCATCATGGTTTGTTTGTTTGTTCAACGCTATTCCAGCTTCTGTGGCTATTTTCATGGCAAGAAATATTATGGCTGAATTATATCATGTTTTTATCATTTATTTTTGCTTAAAACTCAAACTGCATTTGGCTTAACTCTGTTCAAAATCTCTTCTAAAGAGTTAACTGAATAAAAAAAAATCTCAATGAGTTAAAACCAGCACAATCTAATAAAACATGCTTAATGGATAAAGGGATTCAGCAGAGAGAACATGTTGGAGGATCTTCCCCTAGTATTAAAAACTTGTGTGTCATCCTGGAATGACCAATTCGACAGTGGGTATAAACAATCTGGTCCCAATGGTTAGAAAATTATTTTTCCAACATTGGGACTAATTTCATGGAATTTATTCATTGTATATAGATCCCACTCTGTTTTATAATATCATGGTAAACATGAATGATAGAACATTACATACCCTTTCAGTGATTCCAGCACTGACAGTCTGACCTCTTCTGTCTTCGTTGCCCTTCCCATGCCATGTGACCTCTGCAGTCTCTTCCCCGTGCTTGCCAAATATCACCCAGGCGTGGTCCTCCGAGAGAGCCAGATGAACATCCTTCAGGCCCAACACCTGACACGCAGATACCACTGCAAAAGCTACTCCTGAGCTGTCCAGCTTTGTGCCTTATGGAAAGAGACAAAACAAAAATGCAGTTTGAGTCTCAAAACCATTTCATTAAATATACAATATAAC